GTGAGCTGAGGCCGGGATAGAGTGAGCTGAGGCGGCGGGGTCGAGAATGGCGCGCCCGGCGGATCCGACAAATGAGCTGGCTGGATTCCACTTCGTCCACGGTGAAAGTTGAAGTATTTCCTCAGCAACCAGCACAGATCAGCTCTAGGCATGACGAAGCGATATCGTCCTCTTTTGGAAGACCAAACAAAGTAGTTTCGCTTTCACAACAAAGCACACAGCGTCTTCACGACATGGCTGCAGCGTCAACAAAACTACAGTGAGAATAAAAGTTACGCCTTCTTTCTTTGCGTGAACATTTGGGCAGCGTTATGCAAATCTTCCCACATAGTGAGGTAGACATGTGGGGGCGTGGTAGAACGAGCCGTAGGTAGGTAGGTGTGGCTGACTCTGAACTTTTATAAAGAATATCACTTTGGATTTGAGACTTTAGTCTTTGCAACTTTACAGATCTTCTTTATGCACCAAGAGCTTGTAACACTCCACAGAGAAAGGAAAAATTGAAATCGCATCATATGACCCCTTTAAGTAGCACAACTGCTTAGCAGCATTGATAATAAGAAGAAAATGTTTCCTGAGCAGCAAATCAGCATATTAGAATTATTTCTGAAGGATCATGTGACACTGAAGACTGGAGTAATGACTGCTGAAAATTCAGCTTTGCCATCACTCAAATAAATTACATTTTTAAAATATATAAAAATAAAAAAACAGTTATTTAAAACTGTAATAATATTTCACAATATAACTGTTTTACTGTATTTTTAAACAAATAAATGCAGCCTTAGTGAGCATAAGAGACTCAAAAAAACTAAAAATCTTTCCAACCCTAAACTTTTGAATGGTAGATATTTGTACATCTATCTGCGATATCTCAGTATTTCAATAATACAGCTATTCCTAATTTTTTACACTGTATTCAATTTAGTAAAGTGAATATTATAATAACTACACCGGCAATAAATGGGGCTGTGTGTAGATACAAACAGGGAAAGACCATGTTAACACGCAAGAGAACAAGTAGTTTTCACAAGGTCCAAGACAAAGCCATGAAGGGACTGTTCAACTATTATAGAAATAGCACAGAAATATCCACAAAAGGACAACACAACCAGTAAGTCAAACACACCCAGTGGGCTCTCACTATGGTCACCTGATTTGAAGTACTACACGAGCCTCTGTAATGAGCTTGTATCAGCTCTGCAATAGTTCTAGTTGATATCACATCCACTGAAGAAGACATTTTCCATTAGTTAAAGTTAACTCAGGTAGTCCTGTCTGTCTCATTTCATAGCAGAAGCCCTTTTGGGGTAAAGCTGCAAAGAAAAGTCATGTATTGCTCCATCACTATGGTAAAAAAAATTAGTCTACTTGTTAAAACGTTAGAGCATGCAAACATTTCTTTCATAGATGACAGTTTCCGTTCTTTTCCCCCCTGAAACTGGAATCATCACAGAGATTTCCACATTTCAGGTTTAAGACAACAAAAACACTCAGGCCTGGTTTCACAGACAGGACTTAGACTAAGCCAGGATTAGGCCATAGATCAATTAGGACATTTAAGTACTATTTTATAAACGTGCCTTAGGTGTGCATCTTGAGACAAATCTTGAGACACTGATATATTTTAAGATCAATCAGTGCAAGTTTCTTTCAGTTGAAACAGCTCAGACTTACATTTTAGTCTAGGACTAGGCTTAAGCCTTGTCTGTGAAACTGGGGGTCAGAGTTCAACAAAGGCAACATTTCACAATAATAAAAAGCAGACCAGTACACAAAGCGCATCTCAAACATTTGAACACATACTTTATTTTTTTCATTAACTTTGTCATTTTCATCTTGACAGTCTTTGTGAGATTCAGTTTAATTTTTAATTCTAATTCTTTAAAATTATTTATTATTGTTTTTATTTACAGTACATTACTGTTAAAAAGTTTGGGGTCGGTAAGTCTTTGTTTTTTAAAGAAGTCTTATGCTCACCAAGGCTGCATTTTTGTTTGAAAATACAGTAAAAATGATTGTGAACTCTAAGTCAAAATAACTTTTTTCCTGTTTTTAGATATTATAAAAAGTAATTTATTCCAGTGATGGCAAAGCTGAATTTTTATCAGCCATCACTTCAGTCTTTAGTGTCATATTAGCCTTCAGAAATCAATCTAATATGCTGATTTGCTGCTCAAGAAACATGCTTTTTATTACTGTTTTGCAGCTTAATATTTTGTTGGAAACCCTGATACATTTGTTAGGATTCTTAGGGCCAGTTTTACTAAACAGGGCAAATTAGCATGAGAGTGCAATTCCAAAACAGTGCCGATGGGTGTGGAAATGTCTACGGGTGATTTACTGACAACGTGCGAAATAAAGAACACAGACGCAACATCTCATTTACATATCGACCAACGCAATGTACCAAGTGCAGCGCAAATCGGCATAGTCGCAAATAAAGAATTAAGAAATAAAGAAGCCACAGTACATTGAGAAGAACCGGAGGCCAAAAAATTAAAGGTTTCATGGAGTTTTGATAGACCCGGTATTGCGTGACTCCTAGTTGAGGGTTCCAAGTCGTCTTTTATTTCCTGAAGCTAATTAAAAATAACATGGCTTGGCAAACTATATGTTGGGATAATGTGATCTTCTGGCATTCCAAATAAATTAATACGCAAGGGAAAAAAACTCTCCCTTCTACCACGTGCTCTCGGTTCTCTGCGGTGCCTTCTCCTAGCAACAATAATTGCAGCCAAGTGCAAAATAGTTTAGACATGCTTTTTTTGGGCATTAAATAATGGCGCAAATACCAGTAATTCAACGAGCGCAAACGTTAGTAAATCTCATTGTGTGATTAATTTGATTACTCTCGTCCCATAAATTTTGCGTCTGAAAGGGAAACTCCTACAAATGCATATTCAATAAGGTCAGGTGCACGCCTTTTCAGCGCTAATTCGTCACTGCGCATCTTTAGTAAAACCTGACAGTAGTATTGTAACGCCAAAAGATGGTTTGCGCTGGTGCAAGCTGTTAGTAAAACTGGCCCTTGGATGAATAGAAAGTTCAAAAGAACAGTTTATTTGAAATAAAAATGTTTGGTCACATTATAAAAGTCTGTCATTGTTGACCAATTGAATGCATCCATGTTAAATAAAAGTATTAATTTCTGGAATAAAAATCTTACTGACCCCAAACTTTTGAGCCATAATGTATTTGAAAAGAACTACAAGGAATGATTTTGTGTCTAAAACATAATAGTTCCACTCACCTTACTGGACCATTTACGGGCCTCGTCGTGTAGCTGCCTGGCGGCCACCATCATCGGCTCGCTCACCATCTCGCCGGCTTTCTGCTCCGGGAACTCCTCATCTTTCTCCTCTGGGGGTGGAGGTCTCGGGGGAGGAACTTCCCCCTCTGGGAGGGGCGGTTTGGGAGGAGCCTGATCATCACTGACCTGATAGAATCACATGGGCGAGTAAATGATGACAGAATTGTCCCTTTAAGGCCTGAATTGATGCTTTAATTTCACTTACATGCAGCTGATCAAGGTCTGGAGGTGGAGGTGGAAAGTCAGGCTCCTGAGGCTGGAAGGCTTCCCTGACTTTCCCAACAGCAGCCAAGATCCTGTAGCCAGAGTCCAAGAAGCTCTTTTGTGAACCTGATCATTAGGAAAACAAGATTTTCTGTCAGTAATAGGAGAAATAGTTTTCTTTAAATGTATCCAGAACATTTACCAAAAAAAAAAAAAAAGACCTGGATCCTGGATGTTTCCTGCCACGGCTTTAGCAGCCATAACCATGGGTGAGATTGTTCTACCAAGTTCATCTGAAGCAGCTTTGACCAGTTCTCTGAATTTCGGGTCCTCTGAGTTCTCCACTTCCCGTTTGGCCACCAGAAGGACCCGGTTAGCCCGCCGGGCGATGCTGGTGGCCCCTGCAACCAACATCTGGGGCTGAACGTTAGCCATTGCCACCCGGCATTTATCAATGTCTTTCTTAATGGCCTCCTCTGATGCATCCAAGAGGGATTTCGTGTCAATGGCTTCATCCACAAGACCTGAAATAAAGATTGTGAATATCTGAAAGAATTTCAAAAGATTTTATGTGGTATTTTATGTGATATGAGCTTTTGCATACTGGTCATTTTTTCAATGTTGTCAATCCATTGGTTCTTCATGGTCTCAAAGTGTTCATATGCAGCCTGGTTGCCAGGGTTCTTCAGCAAAATGCGTGCAGCAGAAGTGACCTGCTCATGAGTACAGCAAAAGATAGATAAACATGTCAAACAAATAAGATCACAACCAGCTTAATAGTACTCATTCTGAGAGCCTTTATTGGTAGAATTATTAATAAACGGTAAAAAAAAAAAAAATGCTGTGCGCCGATATATATATATATATATTTTTTTTAACTTATAGTAATGTGTAAAGTCCCACTTTTTAACAAAGAAATAAATGATTTTTTAAAAGGTTTATATTTCTTGAATTACAATAATACTCTGTTGTTCAAACGTTTGGGGTAGGTAAAATGTAAAAAAAAAAATTTAAAGGGTCTCTTTTGCTCACCATTTATTTGATCAAAATAAGTAAAACTGTAATGCTGTGAAATATTAAAATGTAAAAAAAAAAAAAAATTTGCATTTTAATATTTTTTACAGTGTAATTTATTCCTGTGATGAAAAAAGCTCATTTGTTTTGACTTTAGTAGTGTAACAACATAAAAGCTAGTTATTTTAGAAACATCCTTATAATTTAACACTTAATACTTATTTTAAGAATGAGTTCTCAAGATCATCATCATATTTGGTAGTATCTGGCATCAAAAAGCTTGAATGCCTCTGGAGACTTGATACTGTTGCTAATGTCCAGCTATCAGGCCAAGCACTCCATTATGTGCCCTTAAAGTAGCTCTGGCATAAGCACACACACACACATATACACACATACACATATATGAGCTGCATACCTGAGGTGTTAGATCTCTGGCTGATTTCACAGCCGCCTGGATGCCCTCAACTGTGCTCTTATTGGCTGTCCCCACAGCAGCGGCCTTCTCGGCTGTAGCACCCAGTCTACTGGCATGATTCTCAAAGTTAGACGCTCTTTCTTCAAAGACCTAGAGGGGAACAATTCTAAATTGATTATAATTATTATTTTATAATTAATCATTCCATTTTATCGATATACTATTATAGTTTTTGTAAATATTTTCAATGAAAATGTAATTTTTACATTTTGCTTTCACTTTAATTTAAGTGTTAGTAATTTTGCTGTGTTTTTGTCATTTTAATTAGTATTTTATGTCTATTTTTTTGTAGCTTACTTCGTTTTAGTTATTTTAGTACTTCAAGTTAAACTACACAAAAATGAGAAATGTTGCCTTGGCAATTAAATTTTATTATATTATATTATATTTTATTTTAGTTAACGCAAATTTTTTTCCCAAGTAACAAAAATGTTTTTTTTTAATGGTTTTAGTATTAGATAACCATAATAACAACACATAATAACTATGATAATGACTATGAGTATGTTTGTATGCATTTCTGACCAGGTATAAAATAATGATTTTGGGGATTCCTTCAAAATAAATAATAACCCTAAGAATAAACGTGTTTATTTATTTCTATAAATGGCTTAAGTCTATTTACAATTAGGTTTAGGGCTTGGAATGCTTTGTGTGAATTAGCATATTTGACATGATACTGAAATGCAAGCTGGGCTCTGTTTAAAACAGGTTGTATACTCAACAGACCTCCTCTCTGTTGGGGGCCTCAAGAGGCGCAGTTGCTGCCACAGCCAGGAGTTTAATTGGTGTGGTTGTATCACTGAAAACATCAGACACCTCCTGGGTCATAGCTTCCTGCATCTTCGCCTTCAGATCCTTAAAAAAAAGAGTTGATATGATGATTTATTTATGTGTACAGTTATTTATTTATTTATGTATAAAAAAAACTGTCATTTGCTTGAAGCAGAATAGGAAAAAATATTGTGTAGTGCAAATATTTTCCAGCAGTAGGCGGCATTTGCTTATATATTACACTGAGCTAAAAGCCCTGCTGCTTTGTGTACTGCACTACTCTAGAGCCAGCAGATTTGACCTCTGCACTTCCCATTTGAGAAGATCTAAACATCTGATTATGCTTCACCCACACCTGCTGTGTGAGAAAGATAGCAGGATCTTTTAATAGAAAAGGGGGACACGATGCCTTACTTTAATTGCCTCCAGAAGATGAGCAGCCACAGCGCGCGCCTGAGGACTCTCTCCCTCTCCCCGCGCTGCAAGATCTGCCAACTGCATCATCAGCTGCTCCACTCGCTCACACTTTGCTAGCAGATCCTGTCTGTATGGCCCTGGTAGAGAGTTCGCCAGCCGGCGACCTTCCGCTATCAGCCCCCGTATGGCAGCCTGGCCTACAGACAGAGACATGACAAGCTCCCATTAAAATTTAATGATGAAATGTGTCATTTCTAGCTGAAACAATCAAACAGGTTTCCCAAACACTCCAGACTCCATTATATTACTGTTTGGACAAACAGACAGTCTCTTCAGGGAAATTAACCAACAAATTGCTTAGGGATGGTTCACCCAAAAATCATTAATCATTAAATGTCATTAATTACTCCCCCTCATGTCGTTCCAAACCCGTAAGACCTTAGTTCATCTTCAGAACACAAATTAAAGTGCCCCTATTATGGGTTATGAAAGGTTCATATTTTGGTTTTGGGAGTCCCCAACAACAGGTTGACATGCATGCAAGGTCAAAAAACACTTTCATTGTCTTATAATATGCATTTATTTTTACCTTGCTTGCTCAACGACTGAAACGACCCAAACGATTCGCACAACGATTCATTTTTCCAAACCCCTCCTTTGCGTGACGCTAATCGGCGGTGATTGAGCCGATTGGTCGATTTCCATTTCATCATGCCTGATAAAGCAGCGTTTGTGAGCGCAGTGCTGCCTTGTGTACAGCCGTTACCGGGAAAACAGCTATTTTTACCGCTCCAAAAGCGCCACCTAGTGGCAAAGAATTAATTAGCATTTTCATTCAGACCAAGTTTTCAAGTGTTCCCGGGTCTGAGCGCAAACCAAGTGGGCGGGCAATATGCTAATGTTTAATGTAGACGTCAACATGAAACGGTTTGCAATTCGTTTTAAAAACGACTCGTTTCAATGATTCAGAGTCGACTCTTTGTTTTGAGAGACAATGGGCCTCATTTACGAAACGAACGTACGACAGAAAATTGAGCGTACGGTCGTTTCAACGCAAAACTTGGAATTTATCAATATGGACGTGAGCGGTGGCTACGATCAAATCTCACGTCTGGTCTCAGCTCGTGTACGCAAGTTTTTGAGTTACCTGAAGTTGCGCGCAGCATAGTAAATACGGTGGAGAATTGTAGATTGACAGCATTTTGTTCATTTTTATATTCCTGACCGTCAAACGAAGCTCATTAGTCGATCGTTAATCAGTAAGATTAGAATGTCTTTTTTTGGTGTTGTTTTGTACAGGGCTTTAGCTTTATATGAAGCTACGAGAATACTTTTTGTGACCAAAGAAAACAAAAATAACAACTTTATTCAACAATTTCTTCTTTTCTGTGTCAGTCCTCGACCTAGATGAATGAAGGTTTTACAGGTTTGGAATGACATGAAGGTGAGCAATTCACGACAGAATTTTCCATTTTGGGTGAACTATCCCTTTAAGAAGAAACCACAATCATAATAGAAACATTTTGTTTCAAGCCACCTTTTCTGAGAAACAAAACATTGGTAGTGTTTTATTCATATTTTATTAATAATCCATATGTGAGTGCCAAACCAGATGTGATGCATTTTAAGTAAAACTATAAATATGCAGTGAGAATTATTATTTGGCACTAAAATGTTCATTTTTAAACCAATATATCTATAAAATGGGTGGTTATAATAATTGTGAAAAATAATTTTGTAATTATTACATAATTATGTTAATTATTCCTAGACAACCTACTATGCTTTTCTTTTAAACACACTGGCAGTCATTTGTTTTGTGTGGATATATTCATACATTCATTATTCATTCATTTTACCAAGCGGAGGGCAACAGCTGCTTTATGATTTAAAATTGCCATTAATGTGACAATCATACACAATCATTTTTTTGACTGATTGGCTAATAATTCAGCACTATTACATTAGCACTACATTAGTATCCCTACTTGATGGCTTAAAAAATATGTTTTTGCTCCATAATAAACTCATTTAGTTCACTTGAAAGTACTAACATACCACTTAAATAGTATGCAATATTAGAATCCAAGTATGCCCTTCTTAGATGAAGAGTGCATCCAAAATGATAGTATATTAAAATAACAAGCCATAGGTGCTCAGATAGTATACCATTTCAGGTGGATTTTAAATTGAGAACCTGTGCCATAGCAATTTTTTAAGCTTATTAAGGATAATTAACAATGAATTCATTAGTAATTAAGTTAGCAAGATGACAAGGTCTGTGGTATCAAGATGAAATTTTATGACGTGATAGTATATCCCAATACTGGCCTTGCTATACACTCGAAATATGGATTTCCCCTGTCACGAGCGAAGTACAAACTAGTGTAAATATGTGAATTGGGACAAGCCCTGGTACTAAACTGTGCAGCTCTGGTCTAGAGTTACTCCAAGACCAAGTTAACCTGAAAGTAACATGACCTGCTGTGAATAGGCATTTGTTTTGTGTGGATATATTCATACATTCATTATTCATTCATTTTACCAAGCGGAGGGCAACAGCTGCTTTATGATTTAAAATTGCCATTAATGTGACAATCATACACAATAATTTTTTTGACTGATTGGCTAATAATTCAGCACTATTACATTAGCACTACATTAGTATCCCTACTTGATGGCTTAAAAAATATGTTTTTGCTCCATAATAAACAAATTTAGTTCACTTGAAAGTACTAACATACCACTTAAATAGTATGCAATATTAGAATCCAAGTATGCCCTTATTAGATGAAGAGTGCATCCAAAATGATAGTATATTAAAATAACAAGCCATAGGTGCTCAGATAGTATACCATTTCAGGTGGATTTTAAATTGAGAACCTGTGCCATAGCAATTTTTTAAGCTTATTAAGGATAATTAACAATGAATTCATTAGTAATTAAGTTAGCAAGATGACAAGGTCTGTGGTATCAAGATGAAATTTTATGACGTGATAGTATATCCCAATACTGGCCTTGCTATACACTCGAAATATGGATTTCCCCTGTCACGAGCGAAGTACAAACTAGTGTAAATATGTGAATTGGGACAAGCCCTGGTACTAAACTGTGCAGCTCTGGTCTAGAGTTACTCCAAGACCAAGTTAACCTGAAAGTAACATGACCTGCTGTGAATAGGACACGAAGCAGCTATTTATGGTTAGAAATATTTTAAGTATGAACATAAATACAACAGGGACAGAGGAAATAGCCATCTGTCACATCATATAAAGGTCCAGAGTCAAGTGCCTAGTTCCATTCGAATGAATAAGTCATTCAATATGCCAGTGTTATCCTTTGGGGCAAAAGTAATGGCCTCTGATGACCAGATGAGGATTTTACTACACTAATAACAGATACAGATATAATAACAGTTATTGATTCAATTCTAAATGCTTTTTTGTCACATTTAAGGAGTAATGTTTCACCTCATCCTGCCACCCACCTACTCCATGATCGTCCACTCCAGGGTTGTTGATCCAGTGCAAGGCCTGCTCAATTTTGCCCTCTAGTGTAACAGCGGCCTTGGCAGGTCTCATGTTGGCCACGGCACGGTTAGTCTTTGCCTGCAAGTTCTGCAAAGCTGTGCCAATCTGTTTGGCCAGCGATCTAGCCTCAGGAGTATCCCCTTTACCCCTGTGGCACAAAAAAGTTCAAAAGAACATCTTTTTTTTTTAAAACAGAAATAATTTGTAACATCATAATTGTCTTTACTGACACTTTTGAACAACTGAATGCATTGTTTCTGAGTAAAAGTATTATTTCTTGAAAAAAAAATCTTACCAACTTATTTATAAAAAAAGTTTCATAATATTATGAAAGCACTAGGAGTCACATCAGGCACGTTAACTTGGTTACATAATCTGTCCTAACAGTGAGCATGATACTGGTTTATCAAGTTCACATTTTTCATCATGTGCTGATCAAAGTCACAACATTATCTAATCATGATAGACTGGCATGAATGATATCTGTTCTTTGAAAGTGGAAAGAACACTTTGAATGTTGACTCTAACTATATGTACTGTAGATCTAATTACATTTTCCGAAGTTCAACCAGTCTCGCAGTGAGTCCTGCGACCTCGCTGATGGAGCGCAGAATGTCGTCTCTCTCTTTAGGATCTTCACACAGGTCAGCGATGCGCTTGGCCTCTGCCAGAAGAGCACGGATGTTCTCTTCCCCCTCCGGACCGCCGTTCGGATCAGCCAGCCAGCTCTGTACAGAAACAACCATTCACACAATAAGTTCAGTTACAAGTTTTACTACTGTCACATTCCTTTCACACCTAAATGTGTATTGTGTTCATTTATTTCAGATTTGATTTATTTTAAACGTAAAATAGTGTTTTTATTGTATTTTATTTTATCAGTAAATTGTGTTTTGCATCACTAGAACTATACCTAATAGTTAGTTAGCAGTACCTTCAAAAGTAATCTCACAGAACACTCTCAGACTCTTCTGTTCCTTTATTATCAGAATGAACATACCACGGTACACTGACACTTGTCAACATTTCCTGTTTTGAATTTGAAGTAATATTTATAGTCATATTGTCATTCAGCATAAGGAACCAGTCTGTTATATAATCACATGCTTTGCTGTCACTGCACAGACAGCACAAAGTAAAAGTATTCTTTCTGTTTTTCAGTTATCCACCCTTTAAATACTTAGGAGTCACAGCACATCTCCACTAAATAACATCAGTCCAGTCAGATTTATGTAACAACTATTTAAATGAGGACACGTCTGTAATTATGAGTACCCATTTTAAGTACCCACACATCCTCTGGGATGCATATACAAGCTCATCAAATCTGTACATATAGCAAAATGAACAATATAATAAAATCTTTAAAAAAAGACTAAAATAAAAATAGAACTTTTTATATTTTCTAAAACACTTCACATATCTTTTGCTGTTTACATCAATGGCCATTCTCTGACTCAAACCTTTGGAGAATAAATTTGGTGGAAATTCATCTGTGCCTTGATTCAAACTGAAGGTTTCCAATTCAGCTTATGTTATGTTTAATCATTTTAAATATTTTAGGTCCTGCACCTGTATTAATCATAACAAACATAATATCCATAATGATAACATTACTAAATGATGTTAATAATAATAATAATACATTCCATTGTTGCTAAAAAAGACCGTTATTTACGTTGATAATATTGGCTATAAAACATTTTTGGTGTAAATATTGGTACTTGTTGCCTTTTCAATTCTTGTTTCCTTTTCTCCTTTTCAAAAGAGTCTTGAAGCAAAACCAATTGACTGTTCGCAGAGAGCTTGATTGACAGGCGATCTGACCAATCATAACCACGAATACGCCATCTTGCCCAAAAAAACAAATCAGACAGGAGAGTAGATGTTTAACTTTGGTGGACTCAAACTTGAAAAATGGTGTGTATTGACGTCTTTCTGCTGTTGAAATAAAATACGTTATGATGTTCATTCATGTTTATTTCGTGCTTTAAGTAAATATGAAAAGACGAACAGTTCACGTGTGCCGCTTGAACTGAGGCAATACAGCGATCTGTCACGACGACACATTAAAGAGCCACAAAACGGTATTTATTGTTTGAATTTTTTTTTAAAGACAAAATTTTAAAGCTGAGACCTTGTTTCATACCAGAAGTAAGCTGCTCTATCTTGTCTGTCGATGTGTTGTCAGTTTACTCTTTGCTCTGTATTTTTTACCGCATGAGAACATGATGTGTAGTGTGAGAGCGGCATGGCTTGTCGAACATAGCAACAGTAACTTAGGAGGGCGGGTTTCTGCAAAGGGTCAATTGAGCACCACTTTAGACACACTAAACGAACCAATTCACTAACAAAACAGGCTTCGAGACTTACCTGGGCCGTGTCGATTCTTTTGGCAATGGCCTGTTTGGCATTGGTCAGGGCCTCCAGTTTCCGAGCAGCATTCTCCACTTTGCCTACCAGAATATCCAAACCTTGGCCCACCTGCTGAGCTTTCTGCATACCTATAGGGGTGGCACCCTGACCTCTGAAGAAACAACATATATTAAGATTAAACAACAATAATAGAATAGAATAAAATAGAATAGAATAATCATTCATTTTCATGATCACACAATTAACAGGACTTACCATACCATATACCATAATATCATAATCTCTCTGACTACCCGTTAACATTGATTAAACACGGAAATTGAACATGAAAAGCATCTGAACTACATGTGAAGGTCAGTGTAAAGAGCCCCCGTGTGTGAGAGTAATCAGTGGGCCGGGGCAGCCGCTGATTATCCGGCCCTTCAGCCTTTAATCTGCTTTCCTTGAGTCTCTCTAATGAAGTCAGAGCCCAGCGTCTGATCTTTCACTTTCACTCCAGCTTTCAACATCCTTGACACATGGACCCAAACTGTACCACACCGTTCCTTCCTTCTCCTGTACTCAGCAGTCAGGGATAAACAATCCCCGGAGAATTAGCCCGCTAACAAACAACGTCTAAACTGTGTTTATGGAAAAACCTGACACACTTTCTCGTGTTGTAAATTAGAAGCAGTTACAGCCCCTGAGACACATCACACAGGCATAATACGTTGTATAAAGGATGATGAATATCGTTATGAACAGCAAACAGCTGCATTAATGCATAATTCAGCTCACGCGAGCGCTACAGGAACATGTGGTGGCTTTTGGCTCTCAGTGTGAAATGCTGAACGGAGGAATCTCATAGTCAGTTGAATCAGCAGTATAATGGGCTTTGATTATAATTCTGTCTTTTCTCCAGGTGCACCTGAAGGGGGGGGCGTACCTGGCGCGCACATCTGACACCTGATCCGTCATCTGGCCCAAGGTCTTGGCTGTTCCCAGGATCTCTCGTCTTTCTTTCCCTGCACAAAGCTCACCCACTTTTCCTGCTTCATCCAGTATGTGACGCAGCGCATGCTCTCCCGGATCTCCTGCAGGTGTCACAGACATAGTGTTAGGCCACTATATACTTTTAACCCAACTCAATTAAAATCATGTACATTACACAAATATTATGTACATAATAAAACAAAAGCTGTCACTGGAGCATACCCTTTCAAAAGGTACACCTTTGTACTTATTTACCCCCAAAGGGTACATATTAGTACTTAAAGTATATATGTTTGTGTACACTTAGGTTTGGGGTCTGTAATACTGTTTTTTTTTAAATAAGAAATTAATATTTTTATTCAGCAAGAGAGCAATAAATTGTGCATTAAAAAATGACAGTAAAGACATTTATAATGTTACAAAAGATTTATTTCAAATAAATTCTGCTCTTTTAACTTTCTACGCTAGCTTCGGTGTAAATATTGCGTCAAAATCAAATCACTCTAAGTTCGTCTGCCTTGGGAAAGCTAGCGTGTCTCCAACATAGTGATAACACTCGTTGCCTTCTCTAGTGCAGCTCAACCAGGTCTCATCCCATTCGTCGATATTTGTGATATCACAAATCCCGGAAAATATGCGTTGTAGTCCAAACGAGTCGTTCGTTGTAGTTTTTGAAAAGTGATTTCTGTTAAATAAAATATTTCCTTTTGAAGTGATAATCTGCCCGGTCCTGCACATTTGCTTTATACAACATTAGGAAAATCAGGCCCTTTCTTTCAGAACATGCAACACAACTCCTTGTTCAAGCTCTTGTTCTATCCAGGCTGGACTATTGCGATGCTCTCTTGGCAGGTCTTCCAGCCACTTCTATCAAACCTCTACAATTAATCCGAAATGCCGCTGCAAGATTATTCTTTAATGAGCCGAAAAGAACGCACGTCACACCTCTGTTCATCAATCTGCACTGGCTACCAGTAGCTGCTCGCATTAAATTCAAGGCATTAATGTTTGGCTACAAAACCACCACTGGCTCTGCACCCATTTACCTAAATTCATTACTTCAGAGTTATGTGCCCTCTAGAAACTTGCGTTCTGCAAGTGAACGGCATTGTGCCATCTCAAAGAGGCACAAAATCACTTTCACTGACTTTTTCATTAACTGTTCCCTCCTGGTGGAATGACCTGCCCAAATCAATCCGAGCAGCTGAGTCCTTAACCATCTTCAAGAAACGACTAAAAACACATCTGTTCCACCTTTATTTGACCCTCTAACTCTAGCACTTTCTATTCTATTTTAATTCTACTTTATCTATATTTATCTTCTTTTTTTATTAAAAAAGAAAATGCTTTCTAGTGTGTGTGTGTAATATATATATATATATGTATATGTGTGTGTGTGTGTATATATAT